TTCTTGATTTTCTTGCATTTTCTCACCTGCCAAACAGATCTTGTCTCAATTCTTTCTTCAATTCTTTGTGTGATTTGCTATGGCTACACCAGCGAACTCCTCCAACTCATCTCCCCTGCAAACACTGCAGCTTCTGCTCATCATGCTGAGGTTTCCAATCCTCTCCTTGCTCCGATTGCCTCTGTCACTGTTCAGAACATCACCGGTATGGTTCCGACGAAGTTGACTCGTCACAATTACATTACCTGGCGCAGTTTATTTCTTCCAGTTCTAAAGCGATTTAAGCTTTTAAGGATTATCGATGGCACTGATGTATGCCCATCTCAATTTGTTTGTGACTCTGCTGGACTTCGTGTTCTTAATTCAGCACATGACATTTGGTGTGAACGAGATCAAATCTTGATGATTTAGATCAATTCGACTCTCTCTAAAGATCTTCTTCCTTTAACTGTTAGTATGGATGATTCTAGATCTCCCTGGCTTTTTCTGGAAAAACGTTTTGCTGGAGCTTCTCGTACACACATTCATTGTCTTCGTGCTAAGATTCAGACGATCCAAAAAGGTGATTCTTCGATGACTGATTATCTCAATTCAATTAAAGAAGTTTATGATAAATTGGCTGCTATGGGTGAGCCGATCTCTGGGTCTGATTTGGTAGCCTATATTCTGTCTGGTCTCCCTGATGATTACGAGTCATTTGTTGACTCTATCGAAACCAAAAATGAGTCTATAACTTCTGATGAACTTCATGGTTTACTTTTGAGCAAGGAAATTTCTCTTCAAAAGCGTAAGACTCGATTGATTGCCTCTAATACATTTGATCCATTTCATGCTCTTGCTGCTCAATCATCTACTACTTCTGGTCACCACTCTGGATTCCGAGGGAATTATCGAGGTTGTAATCAAAATCGCACCAGATTCAATCAAAATCGTAATTTTGGGGGAAATCGCTTTACCAATCAAAATGGTGGCATTCTTGGTGCTGGTCCATCTCGATCTAGTGGATTTCAGTCCAGTCAATCAAATTTCTTCTCTAGGAAATCAAATCCATGTCAGTTGTGTAATCAACATGGTCATCAAGCTCTTCAGTGTGGCCGACTCTCTCAATTTGCTTTTTCAATGCCTTCAGCATACTCTCATATGGCTATGACTGCAATATATCAGGTTACACCAAATTTGGATCACAGACAGTGGTGCTTCTCACCATGTTACTCCAGATCCTTCTTCTTTCAATTCTGCCATTCCTTACACTGGCAGTGATCAGCTATTTGTTGGTGATGGTAAGGGTTTGTGTATATCTTATATTGGTCATGCTTTTATACACACATCTAATACCGATTTTAGACTTAAATATGTCCTACTTATGCCTTAAGCTTCGCATAATTTGTTGTCTGTGTACAAATTTGTTCATGATAATTGGTGCTCTCTAATATTTGATCATTTTAGATTCTACATCAAGGATATAAGAACTGGGAAGATGCTCTTCCAGGGCCCCAATGAAGGTGGTCTCTATCCATTCTACTGGAAAGCTTCTGATGGTTCTTCTGGAATAATAGTATATCCTCGTGCGCTGATGGTTGCAAAGGCTGACATTCATCTTTGGCATAGAAGGCTTAGACATCATTCTAATGCAGTTTTACATTCTATTTACGCATTCATCATTTACCTGTAATTGGTACAGTCAATAAATTGTCAATTTGTGCAACTTGTCAAATGGGTAAAGCTTCTAAGCTCCCATTCTCTGTGTTGCCTTATATCTTAGTCAAGCCTTTTCATTTGGTTCATACTGATGTATGGGGACCTTTTCCTACTTCCTCTTGTACTGGTTACATATACTACTTAATACTAGTGGATGATTTCACAAAATACAGTTGGTTATATCTTTTATTTCTCAAGTCGGATGTTACTTCAGTTCTCAAAACTTTTATTCTCAATGTTCAAACATTTTTTGCATCCAAAGTTCAATGTTTGAGATCAGATTCAGGGGGTGAGTTTTTAAACAACGAACTTCAGGGTTTCTTTAATGCTCAAGGTATTACTCATCAGTTGAGTTGTCCTCACACACCTGAACAAAATGGGTGTGCTGAGAGGAAACATCGTCATGTTGTTGAAATGGGCAAGACTTTACTTTCTCAGAGTGGTTTACCTTCTAAATTTTGGGTTGAAGCTTTTCAGACAACAGTTTATCTCATTAACAAGTTGCCACCACAGACTTTTCCATTGAGTCCATGGGAAAAATTGTTTCAAGCCTCACCAAAATATCATACATTGAAACCGTTTGGTTGTGCATGTTAACCATGGCTTAAACCTTACTCCAGTCACAAGATAGAACCTAAGAGCAAACTGTGCATTTTTCTGGGATACAGTTTAAATCACAGTGGCTACGGGTGTTTTGATCCTATCATTGAGAAACTTTACATCTCTAGGCATGTTGTATTTGATGAGAGTTATTTTCCTTACCTTCATCACAATTTCTTAGTTCATCTGCAATCTCCAATTCCAATCTTGCACATTCTCCAATTTCAGTAACCATACCTATACCAATCTCTTCATCCAGTGCAGTTTCTCAACCTCAGGAATCTGCAAGCCCTGATATCTCCCATGCACCATCAATGTCTGTATCATCTTTCTCAGTCACTGATTATAGTATTGAGGAACATGTTTTACCAACAGCACCTCACAACATTCATCCTATGATTACTAAAGCAAAGTCTGGCATCTGCAAACCTAAAGTTTTCATAGCTACTAAGCATCATCTTCCTTCATCAGTGGATCCTCTCACCAAGATTCCATCCACACCAACTACTTATCCAAGCTTCTAAACATGCTCCTTGGAGGGCAGCAATGCAAGCTGAGTTTCAGGCCTTTTAATCCACAGGTACATAGGATCTGGTACCTCATCATCTATCTTACAATCTTGTAGGTTGCAAATGGGTTTTCAAAGTGAAACATAAAGCTGATGGGTCTATAGAAAGATATAAAGCACGTTTAGTGGCTAAAGGTTTTCATCAACAAGAAGGTTTAGATTTTTCAGAGACTTTTAGTCTTGTGGTTAAACAACCAACCATCAGGATTCTTCTCTCCATTGCAGTTTACTATGATTGGTTTGTACATCAATTAGATGTTAGCAATGCGTTTCTACATGGATATTTGAAGGAGGATGTTTATATGCTACAGCCCCTAGTTTTGTTGATGTCTCCAAACCTACACATGTTTGCAAACTTAAGAGATCTTTATATGGTCTTAAACAGGCTCTTCGCGCCTGGTATGAAGCCTTCTATAGCGCCATCCTTTCCTTGGGGTTTTCCTCTTCTGCATATGATACTAGTCTCTTCATCAAGAAAGATATAACTATTACATGCATCTTGGTTTATGTGGATGATATAAACATCACAGGCAGCTCTTCTTTAGTATGTCAAACCATTATCTCTTAGCTTCAAACTATGTTTCCTGTTAAAGACCTTTGTGATATTCACTATTTTTTGGGGATTGAAGTGAAACGGTCTTCCAAATGCTTATTTCTTCATCAATCAAAGTATGTTTTGGATTTACTTCAGAAAACAAATATGTTGGGTGTCAAACCCTCTAACACTCTAGTTAGTTCTTCTAAACTGGATCACTTTGGTACCCTACTTCCTACCGATTCACTGTTGGTGCATTGCAATACCTTACCTGGACTCGACCGGATCTAGCCTTTGCTGTTAACTAAGTCTGTCAACACATGCATGCCCCAAGAACTATTATTTACAGGCTGTCAAGTGTATTTTACGGTATCTCAAAGGTACCATTGACTCAGGTCTATGGTTTACAAAATGTGCTCAACATCTAACAGCTTGGTCTGATGTTGATTGGGCTGGCTGCCCGATTGACAGACGCTCTACCGGTGGATATTGTGTATTTTTTGGATCAAATCTAGTGGCTTTGAGTGCTAAGAAACAAAACAGAGTGGCTCGGTCCTCCGCTGAAGCTAAATACCGATCACTTGCAAATACTGCTGCATAAGTCACGTGGATTTGCAAGATTCCTTCAGATATTTCCTTTCCTCTTCTCATATGACCTGTCATTTTCTGTGATAACAAGAGTGCTATAGCTTTAGCTTTCAATCCGGTTTTTCATGCTCGCACCAAGCATGTTGAAATTGATTACCATTTCATCCGAGAGAAAGTTCTTTTGGAACAGATTAGTGTCCAACATGTTGGCACATTATCACATATTGCTGATACCCTTCCTGCTGAACGTTTTGTTTCCTTGGCTGACAAGCTTTCAGTTAGTTCTTCTACCTTCAGCTTGAGGGGTATGTTAGGAGTAATGAAGGTTTACAATCTTATCAAAGATGTAAAGCACCATATTAGTACCTTAGTCTATATGCTAGTTAAGGAAGGTTAAGGAAGTGATGAGTCAACATAATTTGTTGACCTCAATATTTATGTATAAATACTCAATGTACACAGTTTCTGACTTTAATGGAAAATACATTTCACACAATTCTTTCTCTCTCTACATTTCCCTCTCTTTCTCAAATCCTAATTCCTTACCTGCTAAGATTCTATTTTCTACAAAAGCAAGGGCCAAAGAAAAAGAAAAGGAAGAAGATGAGGTTTCGGGAAGAAAAAAATGAGGAGTTAAGGTTGCTACTGACCCCATCCAAGAGGAAAGGCTGGCGGCTGAAGCTGGGGTTTGGGAGAGAGGAGCGGTTTGAGAGAGAAAAGCTTAATTAACAATTTTTTTTAATTTAAATCCACTTTATTGTGTTAAAAATTTGTTACTAATTCATATTTTTTTTGCATATTAGTCTCTTTATTGTCTATTAGTGAACACTATACAAACGATAAAAGAACACTAACTTGTGGTTTAGAGATAGAGCTTAAATCATGATTAGCGAGCTGCCAGTTCAAATTTTTTGTTAAATATTTCCTCAAAATCAGTGAATCCAGTTCTTTCAACAAACTATACATGAAGCTTTATTGAGGTATTAAGTTATATTCTTAGAAACCCAGAAGTCAGAAAGTAGTCATCTTAAGATTATATACATGCATTGGCATTTAACAATTAATCTAAGAAAGTAAAAAAAAAAAGTTACATTTTGATGTGAGCCATGTCAAACCAGATTTGCTCAAAGGCCTTGACAATGAGATCATGATATTCATTTGAGTTGAGTGAGAGATAGCAAGCAAGCAGGTCTTCCAAATCCTTAGCTGCCCTGATGTTGTTCTCCACAATCATCTCCATCATTGACTCCCTGAAGTCTCTCTGTGGATCAACTGAGGTCTTGACAACTGCAAAACTCTCCGAAAGGAGCCTGTTCTTCGACTTCAAGCACGACGATGGTGATGATGACACACTCTTTCTACCACGTGGCTGAGTTTTCTTCTTGCTTCGAAGTCTTGGAGAGTTGCCTCTAATTCTTATGCCTGTTGAACTGAGAGAAGCCTTTCGAACCGAATTTGGGGTAACCTTCCTTTGGTTACCCTTTTGAGTCCTAATGCTTTCCTCCTTGACAATTTTGACAGTGAGAGACCTTTGTCCTTGTATTTCCTTCACTTTTGAGGAACTTCTCTTGAGCTTGGCTCCCTCATCAAATTTCACTGGCTTTGTCAAAATTGGAGGAAGCTCTACCTCTGAGATCATATCAAAATCAAACCCATCAAGCTTCTGATCATGGATTTTTCTTGTACAGCCTTCATTTTTCATGTTAGCAAATTTCGGGTCACATTCAAATTCTGATGGGATGAATTCATGAAAGTCAGGCTCACTAGAACTCTCACTAGAAGAGCCAAAGTAATCTGGAGACTGAATAGTTCTTTGGCTCTCATCATCAGTCCAAACCGAATTAACCGCAGCATGACAGTTGCAATTTGATGAGGATTTTGAGACAGATTTGTTAGGAGAAGGCTTGTAAACTGCTTTTCTTTTGGATGTTCTGGTGGATAGTCTTCTGGGGTTTTCAGGAAAATGTGTGTCTGAGGCTTTGGGGTGGATAGGGGAATTATAATACCTGTTTTCTCTGTTGGGTTGCGTGGACAAGTAGTAGGAGTATCTTCTTGTTTGAGAAATGTGGGATTTTTGGGGTGGTGGAAATTTATTTGAGGTTGGTTTTTGTTGCTTGGTGGAGTGATGGTGGTGGTGAGAGGTGTTATGGTTTTTGGTTCTGCTACTTCTCATGTCTTTGAGTTTGTAAAACCAGGCATTTGGGATCATGTCTGAAAATCTGAACTTGTAGTTCCCCATCAATGAATGAAACAGGCAGCTCCTCCTTCTCTCTCTCACTGACTCACTTGGTTGTGTGAGTGTGTGTGTGTGACTCTCACTCTTATGAGTTGGGGGTTTTGAGTAAGGAGCACAAGTGAAGATGGAAAAATAGTTAAAAGAGCTGAATGTTTTGGTCTATAGAAGGTTGTAATTGGGGTCCAGTACTATAAAAAGTTTAGTAAGAAAGCAACAGGTAGCAAGTAATGAATATTAAAACAGGGACCAGTACTATAAAAAGTTTAGTAAGAAAGCAAGAGGTGGCAAGTAATGAATAATAAAACAGGAAGAAAAAAAACTTTCATGCAACGGGTTTTACGTCTTCCTATTTTAGCCACGAGATAAGAAATGAAAAAAAGTGCATTCAACAAGTTGAAGGTAAGTTTTAGCCCTAATTAACTAGGGTTAATTTGTTTGTTTGTATTACTTGACATATCCAATTAGTTCACTGTTTATGCATGGTGATTTCTTGCAAACACCAAGCGACCTATTCCAAATTTTTACCTCATCTTCTGCAGACTGAAGCATTGAGTTTCATTAAATATGCCAAATTACCCATTTACTAAAAATTAAAAATTTCTCTCCATTTCCTTTTTTTATTTAAAAAAAGTTCAGCTAGTGGGTTCGTTAACTTACGTAAGTCCACCCTTTTAGGGGTCGAAAAGTTTCAACCCCCAAAGACATTTCAACCTCCTCCTAGCCACGATTGTGTAATTTACTAGAGCCAGAAATCGAACTCAAAGACGTGTTTACAAACCTGTAATTCGATCTTTTTTTTCTTTTTCTTTTTTATTGGATGTTGTTTCTGTTCTCTTCTTTCCAACTTCATGAGCCAAACACAAACTAACTGATATTAAAAAGATGATATTTTTGATAATTACAAGTAACCTTTGAATAATAACGTAAACCAAGTAATTTTTTTTTTGGTAAATGTAAACCAAGTATTAAAAAGAACCAAAACTATGTATTAAAGTTGTTTTAAAGTAATAATATTTGTGATTATGTTGTACAAACTTAAGCTTGAAGGATTCCCAATTTCTATATTATTTATACATGGAATATATGGTACGATATTGTTTTACTCTTTATCATAAACAATGAAGAATTTCAGAGCTTGATTTATTTGATGCTTTCTGGCTCCTGTATACATATATACCCCAAATGCGTTGTTGTCCCCTTCTTTTAAATTTTCTAATTTTTTTTTTCTAAAAGAAAAGATTAGTTGGTGGCTTTGCCACGATAATTCATCTTTTCAGGAATTAGGAAGACTCACTACGGCAAAAGTCATCCTCTCTCTAATTATCAATATATAATTTACCAGCGTCAGAAATCAAACTCAAAACATAACGTGTAAAATACAAACTATGAATCAAATAAATTTTGGGAAAACTAATGAAAAGAGCTTGAAAACTTTGAGTTTTAACGATAATGACAAAATAAAGGGTAAAATGAATAGTATTATAATTGACTTTTTAGTGTAAAAATGTAATTTTTCATTAAAGTAAATAATACCAGAAGCCTTTTTAAAGTTCTCTAAATTTTATCTTATTTGGATCCTCCTTCTTTTGTTTGCATAAAGCAGCCAACACTAATGATGATTTCACTAGCAGCCAAGACCCATTTGTCTACCAAGTGCTGCGTATCTCCCATAATTCCATGCTTTACAAATGATGATATTCCATGCCTTTTCCAAGTGCTTAATCTCCACAAGGCCCACCTGCTCTTAAGGCCAAGGCTGGAAAACCTCTGGTTACCAATGGCATAATTGTTTTCACTGTCAGAAAATTTTAAAAATTATTATATGATACTGAAATATCGTAACTAAGTTACGTACATAATGTAAAATAATAAAACATGTATAGATACGCTATGAGTTTATTGGCAATACCGTATTCTGTTAATTGTTATTGTATTAATTCTCTTTTAACTTGTTAGAGGCAATACGAATTTGGAGAGCGAAGCAACAACGAGGAATGGCTTGGTGGGTGACTTATATAATTAAAACCATACAATTAAAAACTTGATTGGGTGTATGTAAGAAGTTGGAAGAATGTTATGTTCAATTGCTAATGTGCCATGAATTATTTTATGACAATTTATGCAGGAGCTCACAATATACTAACAATAAGAATTTGTGCACGCATATTGGTGGTTGACCAAGTTCAATGCATAGTTAAGTCATATGAGCGTTAAAATTTCTTCTCCGCGGTTTAAGTTAATGCTTCAACCCCTTCTTTACTGCTACAACACACTAAGGACTGCAAGACGATCAACTTGTAATTGAGGAAAAATCTAAAAAATAAATGATTCGAATCGTTGAAATACATTATGAAATGAGTCCTATAAAAACATATATGTCAAAAATTATGTAAAAATTTTGAAGTCACAAATCTGATATCGACTCCTATAGTTACTTTAAAGAAAAGGCCTATAGTTACATTAAAGAAAAGGCCTAAGAATTAACACGATATCGACTCCTACGTGAAGAGTAAATGTGCTGAAAATGATATGTGCGTATTGGGAAATTGATGGTGACAAAGAAATAGGAACAAAGAGACTTTGTGACAAGTGACATTAACTCAAGACAGAGATATGACACCAAGTCCTAACAGACAAATAAACATTATGAATTATAATCCCCAAAATGGGAAAAGTTAGTTTTCCTTCATGTCAAGTCTTCTCGATTGAAAAATTATTCAGAAATACTTTCTACATTGAATATAGTTGTTTATATTTTACCAAAAAAAATATAGTTGTTTATCCGTTTCATTCTAATCTTAAACATCAAATGTGATTATAAGAAGTCATCCTTACTTGACTATAAATTACAGTCTAACATACGTACTAACGACTGATGAACATAAACAAGTTACCAAAAACACAAATATAAAGGTTCACACACTCTTATTGAACAGTACAATGAATGTATTAAGAGAAATTACTCATTGCATGTCAAACATCAAAGTAAATAGATTTCATGGTTGACGTTAACCACCACGAATACACATAAAACGAGTTCATTTTGAAGCTTTTTTTTTTTTTAATTTTTCCACAAAGACCAAGAAAAAAGAAAACAACGGGACTAGGATGACGAACGGTCCCAACTTTTGGAGAATGAGAATCCGGATCTCTTCGGATCCTTTTTGTGAGGATGTCGGAAATCCGTTTATCGTAAACCGTGCGGTCAGAAATTTTTTTAAAAAAAATTAACACAAACAATATCTGATGAAAAATGACCACACAATATACAATAAACAGATATGATTTACAGATTCCCAAGATCCTCATAAGGAAAATCCGAAGATGATCTTGTTGGTGAGAATGAGATACCTCCCGACAAACCATTCTCCTGTTTCTTTTCTTTTTTCTTTATCTATTTCGTTTGTTACTGTTACATAGGCCTGTAAAATAGGTCAGATAGCCCATCTCAATTAAATTAACAGTTCTGATATGTCCAAATTTACCTGACCATTATTTCAGCCCATTGGGCTAGTTGGGCTAGACTGGACCATGGTAACACTAGGCCTCTAGCACTGGCACCCTACTCTTGTTAGCCAGAATATTTTTTTCTGTGTGTTTAGTTTTTCAAAGTTTTGACATTTCACAAGAAATTCAATCATCTTATCTTTATATCTTGAACCCAGAATTCTATGAACTGAGATCCAAATGCATATTAGAGGATAGACGTTTTGATGTTCAACCAATTGGTCTCAAGTTATCGCCAAACTAAACTCGTTTAGGTTTACTCTTTGTTCATGATGCTTTTTAGCCCAAATTCGCGCATGTATTATGTTGAAAATTTATTGTCAATATTGATATAGATAATGAATGATCTTATTATGTTTACATTTTTTTTGGTTGAAACTTCGGTATATTTCTTGTAATTTAATTTCCACTTTGCGTAGTTGAATCATTGTAAATGGTCTCCAAGTTGTTTGATCAAATTTTTGTGTGGATGTTGATGCATAAATAAAATTTTAACTAATATTGACATTGTTTGATTCAAAATTTGAAAAATCATGCAAAATACGATGTTAAAATTGAACTCCATAAGTTTAGCAAACGCAAACCAAACCCACGTAAGCTCGAACTCATTTAAAATCCGAACTCGCCCCGCATGAACACGAACTCAACTCAAATCCAAATTGTGAAGATTAGCTTAAAATTAGGTTGACCATCTAACCCGTCCAACCTGCCCAAATTGAACCCTTAAAATATCAATTCGAAAGCTTTCCAATCAATTTAAAAAGGGAAATATATTTATGTTTCACATCCATGTATATACCTCACTAGAGATGCTAAGATTTTCAAAAAAACAAGAGGGTTTACTTCCTTTCATAATATCATGGCATCCCATTTACTTTGATTCCAAAACGTGAACCCCATTAATAGTCTCTTTCTCTCTCTCTCTCTCTCTCTCACCAACCGTTGTTGCAACATAAAAACTCTTAAAGCAATAAGAAGTAGCAAAGTCACCATCCTGCACTATCCCTAGCTTCAATCACACTCTGTTTATCGCAATCATTAGATATGAAGTTGAAAGCATCAGTTGCCTTGAGATCCAAGCTACTCAAACCATGCAGAAATTTCTTACAAATCTTCAGATTCAAGCTCAAAAAACCCTTCTTTATAAGAGCTCTTCATCTCCGTCGATCACCTTACACCCAAGTTAAACCGGATAAAAAGGGTCCGAAGAAGAAGAGTCGGTTAACTTCGTTCCCATCCACTTTCTATTCACCCATGAAGCCGAAAAGAATGGACAGACTAGCAGCGCTCAAGAGCTTCTCAGAAAAAGGGGGCGACGGGAATGGAATAACGCATTATTCGTCACCCGTCACACCGGCTTATTTGAAGGCTATGAGAGGAAGGGCGGCGACTTCGGATCACGATGAGGTGCAAGATGCGTGCAGGAGTTTTGAGATCTATTTGGTGGAAATGATCATTGAGGAAGGGCAAGTCGGGGACTTGATGGATGTGGAAGAGCTTCTGTATTGCTGGAAGAACCTCAAGTGCCCTGTTTTCATTGATTTGGTTGGGCGATTTTATGGAGAGCTTTGCAAGGACTTGTTTTCCACTACCAGTGATGAAAGTTTATAGTGTGATTTTGCAAAATTAAATTCTTT